AAAGTATTTTTAATCTTAAGACTTTATGAAAAAAATTTGATATTTTGCATATGAAAGCATTGTAATGTTTACTGATAATGTTCCAAATGTCTTTAACATTCGCTTACTAATTCAAAAGTTTTAGCATGAAAACTATAACAAGCAAAAAAATAGTTATGAGGTTGGTCCCAGGGACCGAGTCCGTGCTGAAAGAGTTAAGTGATAGAAACTAAGTTTCTTTTCTTCTTTTTTTTTATTATAAATTACAAGATATTTTTTGGGTTTCATAGAATTACCTACTTGCTATTGCCAAATGTACACCACGCATGTAACATAACTCTAACTACAGTGGCACTATTAAGTCAACAAAAGGATTATGAAAATTTTTTTTTAATTGGCATTGCTATTGTCATTTACTAGTTAAAAGAAGAAAAAACTTATTGACGGTCAAGATGTATTGAAAAATAAAAAACAGAAAGAAAAAACATCTTTAATAAGCTGAAAGTATCTTTGATGAGTAATGAGTAACACGTGAACTGCAAATTATTCTTGAAGGTCATTTATAAGGAAGTTAGAAGTTAAATCCCTGTTTCTACATTACAGAATGAGGAAAACTGATATGTTAAAGAAAGTGTGAACTATACCATATACGAGCTTATTACACTGAATTTCAGTTGCACGTAGGCTTCGGACTACTCTTCATTCACTAGTTTCTGTTGAAAAACCCCAAATTATTTCACAAATACACGTTAGGAAGTGAAATGGTTGTCCAATAAGAGTTTGATAGAACCTTGTGATTACTGATTTACCTGTCATAACTCGCTGATTAGGTATTCCCACTGTCACTCCAGACTTAAGGTCTCTCTGAAGAGTTAATGAAAACATTACATTTAAAAGAAAAATATATTATACAAGTTTTAATAGCATTTCATATAAATCTCCACTAAAAAAAATTTTACACCATTCGTAATATTTAAACTAATTTAACTGTCAAAAGTGAATATTTTGTTAAAACTGTTAAAACATCACACATGTTCCACTAAGTAGGCTGTGGGAGTTACAGGGCGAAGAAAAAAAAAAAGAACCATTAAATAACAGGGTTCAGCTCCCCAAGTCTCTTCATGTATAAAAAAAAATCAACAAGAACAAAATGAAACATGTGTGTAAAACCATGAGAAACTTAAGATGTATCAAACATACCTTTCCATTTGGGGAGCTCTTCTTAAAAACTCTGAAAGAAAAATTAAAATAAATTTATAGAACTTCCCTAAAAGCCTTCTGGTCAGAGAAAGAATGTTAAAAGTTTGTTATCCTATCATTGTTTTAGTGCACAGCTACACAATGAGCCATCTACACTCTGTCCACTGCAAAGACTAGTACCCAGGATTTTAGATGTTTTAAGTCTGTAAATTTCTTGATCCATCGGGGGGAACAACTTATGTTTTTTTTTTCTATTTCCTTCAAAAATTTCAGGTTAAGTACTCTGGATATTCTTAGTACAGGATTCCTTTTAACATAGTAGGTTTCTACAATAAAAGTATTTTTTAGTTAAATTATTTGATGCAAAAGTAGAACTCACAGAATTACTTTTATGAAATTGTACAATTTCTTTACACATGTAAGTTAAATCATGTTTTGACCTAAGAGAGAGACATTATTTAAAAAAAAAAACATTCAAAATTTCAACTTTTCCTTCTAAATATACATGTATTCATCATATTCTAAGAGTAAACAGGATTAACTTGGCTAAAAATATTGTTTAATTCAATTGTATTTCCTTCCTAGATGGAAAGTTTTCATTCTAAATACTAGATGTACTTCCACAGGGTCCCTCAAAGTGTTCTGAGTAATAAATATTTTTATTTCTTGGTTTTGAAGTTCATATGTCATGCTGTATTGTAGCCTACAGATTGCATAATTCTCCTTGTGATTCACGGCATGTGCACATTTTACTGACGTTACAGCAGTATAAATTGCAGTGTTAAGCATCCCTTATGTGACATTATTTTTGTATTTACTGACTGACAGACAAAACACTACTGGTGCAATTGGTTAAAATAGGTAACCCCTCCAGGCAGCCTTCAGCCCTCTTTCAGGGAAATTACACATTGATGTTGTACAACACAGTCTGAACAGTATAGAAGAGTAGAAAAACAAGTTTTACATAAAACCTTTTTACTATGAAATAGTTATCAACCATCAGCAATTTTTATCTAATTCTTTACTCTTCTTAAGAGGATTTCTGGGCAGATCTTTATGTATGCATCACAAATCATAAAAATGTAAAAATTTATTAATGCTCCCTAACTAACTTAAACTCTTGCTAGTTTTTTTGCTTGTAGTTAAGCACAAAGCTACACAATGGGCTATCCATGCTGTGCCCAACACAGGTATCAAAACCCAGTTTCTAGCATCATAAGTCCGTAGACTTACTGCTGTGCCTCTGTGGGCCACTCTCACTAGAATGACAGGATTTAAAACACCGTATGATAAGCATCTTCAAATTCTTCTTATGAAGATAGTGATGTAGAAAATAAGTAAACAGAAATCCACTGCTGCTTTAGAGATAAATATATTTGTTTGCAGCATTTTGTAAGTTGATTCAATAATGAGTGAAGATCATTAATTACATAATTCATACATATTTCAAATTAACGACAATGAAAATGCCAAAAAATGAATCATTCTAAGAGTATAGCATTTTTATTGTGAAGCACATTCACTAACTTACACATTTTACACATTAAGTTTGCAACTCACAAAAAAGGAACACCACAGAACAACACAAGGAATGCATGTAGAATATGTCTGCTTTTGATAAAACAACCAACAAATCCACTGACTTTAACTTGAGGTGAGCATGAAGTTAAGGAGTACTAATTTATGTATTAAAGCATTCCACACTAATAAATAATAATAATCCCTGTAGACTCCCACTGGAGCATAGGGTCCCAACAACACCTCGCCGACGGAAGTTGTTGTTGCAGTAATTTTTTAGCAGGTTGTTTTTTACGGGGCGGAGTTGCTAGCCCCGCGCCCAACCCTCCTCCTTTCTCATCCTGGACTTGGGACCAGGCAAAAGTGGATTCCACACTAAGGATAAGTCAAAACATAAAGCATGGACCTATTATAAATTTGCTAAAATAGTGATGGATTACAACACTACAATTCCTTTGAGGGAAGGGGGTATCCATATAATGGCTAAATAGGCAAATTTCAACCATACAACTATATAAGAATAAAAAATACCATTATTATATGGATAAATACCTACAAACAAAACTTCTGTTATAAAACATCAAACTACTGTGCATGTTTTCAACAGCTGATGCTTCCATATAAAAATGGCAGAGTTAATTTCCACTGTAAATAGTCTGTCAAACAAGTTGAATTCACATCCACTTAAATTACGATATCCTAATCAGAAAAGCTTCTCTATTTCTCTGGATCACTACTGTAATTAAATGTAATAATAAAAAAACAACAGCACTGTCATAAGATGCTTTTTTATCTGTTGATTCTCTGTAATGTACGTGTACTAAAACTCTGTTAAATATACTGTCGTGGTACATCGAGAGCAGATCCAGTAGTAACTGCAAATAAATTGATGATCTACAGAAAATGTGTAACAGAGTTAAAGTGAACTGACTCTGAGTTTGAAGCAAGAAAGAGACTAAACACAGTGTGAAGGGGGGTAAAAAGTAGTCTATATTCACAACAAAGAGATCAAAACAGAGTTTCACTGGGTTTTGAAAATCTGTTACCTGAAAAGGCTACTTGTCCCAGAAGAAAACACTTATCTTAGACTGGGAGAACTACATCACTATATACAAAATATATTCTACATTGATCCCCACCACCACCCTCAATGCACACTTGCTACCTACACGAACACATCCTTAAGGTATCATCTGACCTTCCTCTCAAAAACAACACTGTCCACCTTTGTACGGTGTATGTTCTGCTTTATAGTAATCCTTCCCACAAGAAAACATATATAACACCAAAGGGAAATGACACAAAACAACAATAAGTTAGTCAAAAGTAATGTAGTCGCATTCAATGGGCAACATTCTACTGTTAACCCAGCCGCAGTGAAAGGGTTAAAACTATACACAAAGTTAGTAACAAGTACATACAACTTTTGTTTTTAATTATTGGCTGTACTAACCTTTATAAGAACACTACACATGTACTTAAAATAACCTGAACAAGGCCTCAGTATAGAAGCCAAAATGTCATCCTCTTTAGGTTCAACAAGCAGTTGCAGTCCATTAAAGTTCTCAAACATACATTGTCTACTCTGTCTAATGTTCCACTAAAACAACGTCCAGCGTGTTGTACCTGTATCTATCTGTACTTGTATACTGCTTTTTAAACTGGTACGTGCAACGAATGAAAGTTAGTTTGAGTAGATAACCAGCTCATCGTGTGTAATGGTTTGGTACATGTATAAAATGTTTTTGTAAGTGTATGTGTGTGTCCAGCTCACTTAAAGAGGTGGTTATCTAAGAAGAAATAGTGTTTACCTTGCAGGGTACTGTTATATTTAGAAAATAAACAATAAATGTAATGGAAGCTACAGCTTTGCTAAAACATACTAATTACTAATACTCATACTTGATAAGTAATGTTCAATACCATCAAAAAATATCTGAGTAAAATAATGGCATTTCAAGTTATACAATAAATAGTTGTTTACAAAACATGAAAAAAAAACACACAATAGCAATGGAAAATACATAATATTTCATTAAAAAACTGCAAGGCACCACTATAAAAAAAATCAACCTATTTATCAAATAATATTTATGTACAGAAATTCAAAAAGGAAAACTTTCAGGCGAGAACTAAATAATTACCTTGTACAAGGGCATTTATTCTGTAAACTTTCAGGTGAGAACTAAATAATTACCTCGTACAAGGGCATTTATTCTGTAAACGAGAGCTAAATAATTACCTGGTACCAGGGCGTTTACTCTGCTGTTCACTGTCATTATTCTCCATCTTCTAACCCTCCCATAAGCTGAATAACAGACACAGCTACTGTATACAGACTTGACGGAATGATCAGCTGGTCGTAGTAAAACTGACTGTTCCTCTCTTCAAGCCAAGCAGAGTTTAACAAATCTTTGTTTTTCTGAACATTAGTTCTGCAAAGAAAAATCTGTTACTTAAAAGTATTTACACTTTCTCTTTCTATCCAAAATTCTAATTTCAAATCTGTAATATTTTCAAAACACAGTTTAGTGGTAGGCATGACTATGTTTTATTCATATTGTAAAACATTATATTTGTTTGCAAGTTTTAGTAAACACCCGTAATTGCAGCTATATATTCTGCATGCAAATATACAGTGGCCAGAAATAACGTCACTGGAAAAAAAAAAAATCACAGATTTTTTAATACCCAAATACAATAAAAAAGTAATTCAACAAAAATCATTTTCAAGTTAGGGTTATTTATCGCAATAATAGTGTGAAGCATGACATGTAACATTATATGAAAAGTACATGACATACATACATTAATAACACAACTTACGTAACTGTTGTACAAGGAGATGTATATAAAAAAGTAAATGATGAACAAGGCTACTCGCCTGGCTTACCACTACCTGAAAAATACGGCTTTACATCTG